TTACAATTAAAAAAGAAACCAAATAATGTAAAAGTGTATAGAAAAGAATAAATCGTTTAAGTTATAAATAATAATTTATATCAAACTTCAAGAATGACCTGATTGACCTTAGTCTATAATTTCGGTGTGCTTCAGAATGTTTAATTTTTTGTATACCAGCACTATAAAGGGCCTTTTCTGTCAAACGAAATCGTTCATAAAACAGCAATTTACGGCAGAAATGCTGGAGTATTAGCATTTACGCCACGAATAATTGTGCCATCAATCAGCCAATCGCGAGGAATTGCGGGGGGGGGGGTAGCGGGAACAGCCAACCACCATTTCTCACACAGATATGAAATACCTGTGACTTCGTACGAAAGTTGTATCGCAAAATTAAGTTTTATCCTCTTATAAATGTAAAAAGCTGATATACCAAAAATAGCATATGCAACTCATTTGTAACGTTGCTTTATTGCATTCGTATAAATTTGACAACTCGTCCTATTGTCGCTCGTTTTCAAAACATGTTACTCGTGCAATAAAGCTTAATATTATAAACTCTAAATATTATATTACTTTATTTCATCGTGGAATGCACTGAAATTCAATCATCCGAATAAATATTTTGTCCATTAAAATTTGTAAATAATACTTATCTTTACATGCAACCAATAAATTAAACTATAATTTCAATAATTGCATGGTAACTACCGAAGTTACTGAACCTACTTAAGTTACTATGACTCAAAATAATTCACAATTAAATCATATTTCTTGCCTGTTAACACAACGAAACTAGAGGTGCCACAATAATAGATACTTACTTGATATATTATAATTTTTAACCGTTATGTTATGTTATATCACTGTTATATTATGTCACAATTTCTGCATTTCTTACACTTCAAATATCACTTTATTGCGTAAATCAACGAACTCTAAATGTTTTTATTCAAAAGTTGAAATGAAAATATATTTCTGCACTGACGTCAGTGTATGTAATCACGAACATATTCGATGGATATTTTAACATTAAAATACACTGCATAAGCAGTATGCGAGAAAGTAGAAAATAAGTTTATAAATAATGTGATCCAACGAATATGAGCCGATCCGATGGCCGAGATCGCTAAGGCAGTAGTGCCATAGAGGTCTCGGACCAGAATATAGCGGGTTCGAGTCCCGCGTCGGGCATGATTGTGTTGTGTGTGTCTATTTCATCATCATTATTATCATTTCATCCCATCTCCCAGGGCTTACAACCCTAGGTATAAAAATGCTGATTCCCTCCCAGAGAAAAAGCAACTTACCCACCTATCCCGATAATGAAGTCTGAGTTCCGGTGGGATGCACGTATCGCGTGGCCCTATGATTGCCGATTCGCGAAACAATTAAAAAAAATACGATTAATAGGCCGAGATCGCTAAAGCAGTAGTGACCTAGCGGTCTCGGACCCGAAAATCGCAAGTTCGAGTCGCGTCTCGGGCATGGTGGTGTTGTGTATGACTGTGTGTGTGTGTGTGTGTGTGTTGTCCTTTCACTCCTCATTATCATCATCATTTTATCTTCCATACCCCCCAGGTTTGTGATCGATAAAAATTCGAATATGGCTAAAAATCGGATCGAGCTAAAATGCTGATCCTCAGATAAAAATTGCATGCACCTGCCACCGATATAATGGTACTGAGCACCGGTAAATGCAGGGTGCATGCACGTGTGGTCCAAGCTGGCCTATTCGCGAAAAGAAATACGATCCACAGTCAGCGGCGATGGCGGAAGCGGCTTTCACTGCAGCGCGCTGTTGCCAGCGCATCGATAAATCAATAATGGACGAATTTCACATATAAATCGAACAGCCAGAACTAATAGTCATGAAATATAACTCTTTATTAATGCACTCGAAATTACGATACCTTAATGATACTAAATAATTACTGAAATAATTACCTTAGATGAATACAGGCATGTTGTACAGGAAGGAACAAGAAATTAATCTCCCAAACCTATAAATGTTTGCTTATAACAACAGAAAGATTCTATTTGTACTTTAACTACTTGCAAATCTAATTAAATATTGGAGATATATGAAATCTTCATTTTGTTTTCGAACATTGAAGTGTTGTAAGGTTCCAACTCGTAGACGAGAGAAACTCCTATTAGCTTAATGTTGCTATTCAAAATTAAGAATATTTTATGCAATTTTGTTTCACACGAGTTGTTAATATTCCGTCATTTCTGTCAGTTGTTTGCAAAATATGTATTGGTTTTAATTGAGAGACAAATAGAAATGTATTATTGAAGCCGTAGTGCAGTGTCCATTTAGTTACCATCGCGCATCATTAAATATAGAAATAATCATCATCAGTGTTTACACTTCTGTTGAGGTCGACTAATGGGAAATTATTGAAATTTCTATGAATATTTATTGTTCATTAACTCTGAACGAGAGTCGTCAGGATTACTCCACTTAGTTCCCTCTGAGCCTCAAATGCCTCTGAAGTAGAGTAATTAAGTCTTTAAAAACAGCTCTCTCCTTATCTCGGTTGCGCATTCAGGGCGAATGGCAGTAAGATCGTTTCAGGCCCAGAGCGCATCTGTAAGCGCATCTGTAAGTGCATCTGAGCATACGCAGAACATATCAGTGGGTTGCAATACCCAGTTTTTCATTAAACGAGAGAAGACAAATGTTAAATTAAATTCATATATTAAAATATTAAATATACATACAATAAATTATATAAGCGCCTTTATTAATCATATATCTCTTATTGTCGCGAAAAAATATGTCCTTAAGTTCAGGAAAGAAACATGATAAATTGGAGTTCGTCTCTAACATATCATGATTTCAGTGTTTCTTGTTTTTGCAGTTACGAGAGCGCTATGACCTAGAATGTTTGTTAATACAAATTAGTAATTTTAATGACGAATTTGTGATATTGGAAAGATTAAATATATTGTTAGCTCCTTCGTGCATTGTACTCCAAGTTAATAATTCAAACCAAGATTGAGAGGGTAGGAACATGACATTTTGAAAATTTAGTTTTTCTGAAGACCCTTACTCCCTAGCATGGATAGTTAGAAAGAGCAGGGAGTCGAAACCAATGTAAAATTAAATTCAAGAAATAGAAGTGTAAATTAACCTCCATGATAAAATTCCGGTGACTACAGTCAATCTTGCTGAACGTGGATCGTGTGAAACGTAGAAAACTGCCCTATGTGAATTTCAACCACAGTCCTGGCAAATGTAAAATCTACAGAAGAACATCGTATTGAACGGAATAAAGTCTAACGTGGAAAAAATACTCGTCCCTTGAGATTCCACTTGGAATGAGTTTTACTGCATTTGATTTTCTATAAAATTTAATCTCAACGCACAGCAATATTACAATATTTGTTCATTCACTTTACATGGTATATAGTGCTTAAACGCATATATCAGGAGATAGCCGTCCGAACGTAACTCCAAGTACAAAGATATTTTCATTTTTAAAATAATAATTTACAAAACGCTATATGTTTGCACGAGTCCTGTTGAATTGAGACAGTACGAGTGCAATTATATTGTGAACAAATTCCTCTACAAATTTGGAAATAATAAAAGTTAAAAAATAAAAAGGTTCTATTTTACCGCTAACACTTGGAAGACAAGTTTTATGTTTTTATTATCTGTTTATAACTTCATCAATAAGAAACTAAAATAAAAGAAATAAAAATATCACTAAAACAAATAGAAACTACTACAAGGCTCAGTAAGTAGGCGCTGAGAGGATAGTAGTGATTCGCCATTGATCAGTTATGTGGACAGCTCCCCTAAAGGATATAACTATCAGGAACTCTCAAAAAGGGTTTCTGTTAGTTTGATATTTGTTTCGAAAAGTATTATATTGACATGTATAAAAGTTATCATCATCAATAACACAGGCACACAAAAAGTAATTGTCTTACCCAAAGCCTTGACTCAGGTTTCTCTATGTATGTCGTCACGCTGAATCCGTTATTTGAAGTCAAAATTGCGCCACCACCCTCCAGTATTTTTAAATCGTGAAAAACCGTCGTGAAATATTATATTGTACATTTCTCTGTGTTTTGTTTTTCATGATAAAAAGCTAGAAGGTGGTGGTGCAATTTTGGCTTCTTATTCGGATTCATTCCTTGAGAAACAAACCCTGCGTCGTCATTCATTGAGAGATGTCAAGTCTCTGCGTCTGACAACGTTTTTTGTGTGCCTGTGTAATTAGGGTAATAAGGAAGAAATCCTTAATACGTCCTTCTACGCTGATGTGTTACTTGGTGTCTCCAATGAAAATCACGGAAATGCTGGAGCAGACCTTAAAACCGGGCAACGTACCGCGCGCGATCTCTTTTCCTGATTCTTGTGCTCTCCTCTCTCCTCATCCCCCCACACACACTCCCATTCACTACTCTCTTAAGAAGGGGAGGTGAAGCTTAGAGCTCGACTCAGTTGGGACGATGCCCCGCTGGCGGAGATATGCTGTGACGTCAACGTCTAAGTCGGTGCCGGATTTCATGTTCTAGCTGGGGAAGACATATCGCCACCTCCCTGGATCTAACATGCTCTTCATTAAAGTGGCTAAGGGCTATAGCAAGGAAACACAAATTAATCGATCGTACAGTAGAAAACAAAAGTAAAACCATGCGGCCTGTAGAGCCGAGTTCGCTAAGGCTGGAGGGGCGTAGCTGCCCGGCTCAAAGGGTCGTGGGTTCTAATCCCGCCTCGAATATAAATGCTTGTGTGTGTTCGTGTTGTCCGTAAGTGTTGTTCATACAGTCCTCCTTCAATTAAAGCAATCACAATGGTCAAAAGTGGTTAAAAAGCGACCTTAAAAAATAAAGCAAACTACTACTGTAGTCACCTCACCAGTAAAAGAGGAGGACTTTGAGGCATATGCTTTGTTTCTCGTCCATTACTATCGCCCTCATCACAATTTAGGTACACATTTTGAGTGAAAACGTTTTGCAGAAAGGGTTTCTCCAACGTATTCGCAAGAGTGGCTTACCGGGCCGGCAGAAGCAGCGGTAGCCGCCGTCCTCGTCGACGCAGATGCCGTGGCGGCAGGGGCTGGACTCGCACTCGTTGAGGTTGTGCTGGCAGGTGGCGCCGGCGAAGCCCGGGCCGCACGCGCACGCAAAGCGGGAGCCGTTGCGCGCGCACGAGCCGCCGTTGAGGCAGGGCGACGACGAGCACGGGTCCGCCTCGCGCTCGCACCGCTTGCCCGTGAACCCTGCGCACACACGCACGCCCCGCTCAGCGCGCTTGCCCGGCGACGGCCGCTGAGAGGGCAATCGGGCGCTGACTGGGCGGGACGGAAACCGCCGAGGTCTGCACCAACGTGTGTAAACTGTAGTGGGCGTCTTAAAATAAACATTCCGAACTCCTAGGACAAGTGTAGGGGCCGAAAATTATCACTCTTTGACAATGAACGTGGAGTGGGAAATTTCATGTGACGGACTTACATGCATCTATACACGTGGCGTGTGCTCCTGACTTTTAAGGTACCCTACACGCACAATGTTCGGCAGATCACGTTCTGGTGCAGTTGAGATTTCATGGACCTGACGAACACCTATGTATACGAGGTTGCCTAGAAATCAGGGGCAAATGTCACATGTAAATCGCATATAACTCTGTTATATTCAATTTCACACTTATGTTCATTGACAAAAATTTTTTACGCATCTACCTGGCCAAGAGGTTTGAAACACTTGATTTTGAGACAACCTGTACATAAATATTCCCTGTAAGAAAAATAGATTATTGTGATAATGTACGTTGCTCTTGTCTGAAAATCTGGAAACACATATCATTGTGACGTAAAAATGAAGATTTTGTTGACGATCTATGAATAATAAACTTGTTATTCGGATGGAAATATCTTGATTTTTACTTAAAGCAGAGCAAGAAAGGTGATCTTTTGCTACCTGGAGTTGAAAATCTTTTAGGGGAACGTAAAGTAAAAGTTCCGGAATTGACTTGGAAGCATCTCGTCTTAAACCTCGGGGAGTTGAAAGAACCGTTAATACAATCGCTAGCTGTATTTGAAAGTTAATAGGTATAAGAACAAAACCTTTATCAAAAGAATACATTTCTAAAATGATTTGTATCTAAATAAATGTGAACACCTACATCGTATTTTATAAAAAGCTCTTCCTTTGAGATATAGAGTGTATTTATAGCTTTCTCTCGAGGCGTTCGACTCAGGGCTTTTTCTTCTTAGTCGATCATGAAAATATGGAACTAAGAATAAAAAAAGAAGACAAACTGAAACATGGAAACATTCCACTGGATTTAAAAAATATGCAAAAGGACATACTTGAGAACTCTCGGAAAATAAATGATTGAAATGTGGTTATTAATGTTTTATTATAATACAGGAAACCTCAATATACGTACATGTAACCAAATTGAAGAAGTATTATTGTAAATAAAGCGTATATTAAGAAAATAATTTCCTCGAACCTGTCGTCTTAAAGGCTGATTAAATGAATTATTGAATTACACAAATGTGACTGTTTGTAAGTTTGTGTGTGTGCCATAGTACGTGAATGGAAATAGCCCTATTTCTTACGAATATACAGCTTAAAACATTTTTCTAATTCTTGCATTTATTCTCTGTGTGCGAAAGCTCTTACCTCTATGTTTCTATTACTTTTGACTGAGGTTCCATGCGCATGCGCGTCTAAATGCGAATGCTCACGCGACCTTGCTGAATGAGTCCGTTTGGCTTCATAAAATCCGTAGCTCGATTTTACCAACCGGAAGCCTCAGCTAATGGCACACTGGCAATCCCAGCCACACAACGATGTCTGAGAAACTCTCTTAGTTACTATTCTCAGGCTTTTACAAGCTACATGGGTCTCATTTCAGTGTAAAATGAATCTGTCACATTTGAAGGATATATGGATAAAAATACAGAACAAAAAAGGCTAAGAAACTTAACGTTTAACTCGACATTGATCTTATACGGCTTCAAGTACTTTTCCACTCTGTGAGTGGACGGTTATCGCCATAAGAGTGCGCACTATAATGCACAAAAACTCTTGCCCCTTGTTCATCTATCCTCCCTCTCCTTCTCCCTCTCCCTCTCTCTCTCTCTCTCTCTCTCTCTCTCTGTCGTTTTCCTCTCTTTGTAGTATTAAATTTGGTTCAGCGACTAAACAAGCCAATTATCAGTTATTAGTTTCATTAAACACGCATAATTAATGTGTAATTAATTTGTATCCAATATTAAATTTACAAAAACAGAATTTCTATAAGTTACTACTACACTAATATTTTGTATGGAAATCATTTAGACCAATTGAGTTAGTGGTTGATTTTAAAATGAGTTTTACTATTATAAGTACATTCTTCACTACATTAAAATGCATATTTTTATGTTAAATATTTACAAAAATGTGACAGTAAGTTTGTGTGTGCCATAGTACGAGAATGAAAATAGCTCTAATAGCCCTATTGTTACATTGTAGAATTATATTTTTTTCAAGTACGAGTTGAGCTTTAAATACCATGAGTCCGTTATATGACATTTAACATTCCTATTGCACACAATTCTCCCTGCAACTGACCAGATTCCCTTTGCGACCCGGGGAGTCCCCTCGTTTGGTATCATCCACTTCAGAAATATAGCATTTTTCTCACGTCGCCATTTTATCAAGTTTTCCCCTCATAGCAGGAACTCGCCAACTTTTTCCAATTTTCTCCGGAAATGGGGGGTGAACTCGTATGCCCGGCCAATCCTTGTGAGAAGCTGCCTCCTCGGGGACGGAGGGAAGACGGATAAACGAAATTAAAGTTGCGACGAAGTGGGGGAATATTGAAACTAAGACAAAGGGGAAGTGCTAGGGCAGAAAGGAAAGCAACAGAAGCATTAGAGAATGCACCGGCTGAGGTGGCTCAGGGCATCGCCTTAAGTCAATGCCATGCCCCTGGACGGGGGGGGGGGGGCTATGATTGGAGTTCCCAAGGTCGCAAGAATTTCGGCTCTACCTTCGTGGTGAGGTCGAGTTCAGCAGGAGAAGAATTCTAGCGTCCGACTCCTCTGGTTGAAGCAAGCCGACCTGTATATTTGGTACTCGATCTCGCCATTCAGTGGGCAAAGATCACTGTCACCTCCCACGTTAACAACTCGCACTAAACTTACGGGAAAATGACCTTAGCTCGGAAATACTAGTCAATCAATCAATAGGATAAAGTAAACACAACTAAGACTTAACAACGATTAACGACGCAATACGGCAACGCAATAAACATAAACATTCGAAGGAAGACGTTATTCGTGGTTCCCCTACATCGTTCTGCGTTTCAAATCCAGATTTTTAGGAGGTTTTCCATTTCCCCGAACATAACAGAACGTTACCGCGTCACAAGTAAAGGGCAGAACGCGTCTCCTTTTTTGAAAGCGGAGCTCGCATCGTATTCCAATTACAGAGAGAAAATATTGCCGTGAATCATGAGCAAAATATGATGCCAACTCTGTGACGAAGTTGGTATCTTTTTTCTCGCCGGTTATCATTAAAATAGATGCGGATGAGAAAATTTAAGAGCAGAGACCCTTTGTTACTATCTCGTCAGTTTTTCAATTATTAAAATAATTCTCTCCTTTTTGTTCTTAGAATACTTAACAAAAACAACAAACATTGTTTACTTCATTTTTTCCTGGAAACAAATGTAATGAAAACTTCGTTGAATATTGCAAGCGAGCACTATTAAAAAATACATAGAAAATTAAAGAGTAAGAGAACAAATAACATGACACATGGTTCATATTATTGTAATTCGGAAATTACGCAATCGTGACGTAATTGTTTAGAAATTCAATTAATATGTACACTAATAAACAACTAATATATATCGTCATTCACAACTATATAAAAATTAACGTTCAACGTGCAGGGTAAAATAAGTATGTGAGAAAACCTGGGACGTTTCTATAATGGTTTAATTGTACAGATACTTTATGAATATTATTCACATTTTAATTCACGTTTCACCTAAAAAACATTGCTTTCAAAAATAATTCAAAGGTATGTTAGAGGTTAGTTTCTGAACTATTCAGACCTGGCGTACATCTCTAGTCGTAGGCAAACTGTTTTCTGCCGTCAGTTATGTTGACATCAAACATCGAGTAACTTATAGCCGTCGTAACCTGCCGTCTGGCAACTCGGAAAAGACGAAGGTAGTAATTGCGATTGCAAAGTCTTTGGCTGATGGGAGAGAAGCCCTTTCATGTACCCACGTAATGTGTATTTAGAGCAACACTCCTCTTGAGGTTGTACAGTGATGGCAGATAGAATCAGCCATAAGTCTGTAACAGTCACTTACAATTTGGGGGGGGCGGGGGGGGGCGATGAGAACCTGCATCGCTTTTACTCTCTACCTTTGTTTGTATTTGACGTAATAAGTCATTGTTTCACTTTTATTGCTAGAATCATTCTTAACTGCCAGTGATAGTTTCGTCTTCAACATCATCGGATGTTTACAAAAATATTATAAACCGTCCCCATATGCTATCACTTCGGGGAAACCGCGGCGTTCTCTGTCAGCACTGCCCATAAATACGTTGCAATTTTTTAATATTTGTCGATGTGGATAACATTTGAGCAATTCGAAGTACACACAAAATGTTGAACTAGTTCTTCAAAAAACAGAAGCAAGTACAGAAAATGCTCAAAGTACTTGTGCACTTGCCATTCCTCAAAATTAAAAAACTTTCACCACGAACTTGCAGTAAATAATTGTACCATATTTCTAAAAACTTGTCTCATTCGTCCTTATTTTCATTTTTTTTCAATTTCATTGCAATTTATTCTGGGGTTTACTAATAACTACCATTAGGTTCTCCGGGAACCACTGAGAGGCGATTGTTAATGCCAGAACGCTAACGCCCACTTTTCATGGTAGACAAAGGATCGTTTAAGGGATCAAATGAAATGTTGCAATGACCTATTATATTATTATAGATAATACACTTTATCTGGCTAGTTTCATTTTTTTCAGTAGCAGAAAACGGACACTTTCGTAATCCTTGTTATTAAAACGTCATTTAAAAGTATCAAATAAAACAACATATATTTTCTAACGGATTGCAAAATTTAAAATGTATTCTTAACGTTCAATTTTTTTTAATTGAGATCAAAAATGCGCATCGTTTTCTATATCTCATAGTCTACAAAAGAATACTCTTAAAATACAAAATGTGGGTTTTAATTTTCTTTGGAATTTTCCGTAATGTCTTTTCCGACCCTGTGAAGAATTTAGCGAGATATTGTCAGAAACGCGTTTACATATTCATGCAAAATGTAATTTCATCCTACCGGGATGAAAATTTGAACCTTCCAGCAAGTTTAAGAAAACTTTGTTTCATGAAACTTTCATGACTAAGCGTTCAGTGTTTCGAAATCCACGAAACCCCGAGGGACCCACGAAATCTCCGGCGTTTCGCGGCGTCTCCCTTCAGACTTCTTTCGTCACCGTTTTTGACGGACTAGGGAAGGAATTCCGCAAAAACCAATGCCGTCTTGCTTTTCCCGGCGTTGATAGCTTACATTGATCCCCCTGGGATCGATTGTGCATTGAAATGCGACGGACGTAAAGCTGCACCGTGTAGGAGGCTCTGCAGCGGCTGTTGATCGTGTAGGGAGCCTTACCTGCGCAGGTAAGGTTTTAGAAGTCCTGCGGTTTAAGATGTAAAGTTCCTCCTAATTTTAAATTTTAAATGAATATATATATATATATATATATATATATATATATATATATAATATATATATATATATATAGAAATAAATATATATAATACATTAATTTCACTGATATTATCAATCTGGATGATAATATTAAAATAAAAAATAGATTTAATAAACATTTGTATTTTATGCGTATTCTAAAATATATTTAAACGTTTTGATGCTTCATCTTCTTCTCTTCTTTTATAACTTTTATTATGCTAAGGATACCTTCAATATGTTTGATGGTAAAAACGCTGGACACAAAAGAAAACCATCATAGAATCCTTACAAAAAAATAAGAAAAACTAAAGAAGACTCAGAAAATTGTATGTATCACATATTTAATAGTGATAATATGTTATGATATGATAAATAAATGTAAATAATAGTAATAATATGTATCACAGAACGCTAATAAGTGATTGAGATGGCATACTCTTTAGCATATGATGCTACTTTTTATAAATAACAATATTTAGCATAAATCCCTGCCTGATCGGCTAGAAAGAATTTAAAGGTAAAATCTAAACTTCAGCGGTAGAACGAAAATATTAAAATGCATAAAAATGAAAGAAGCAACCCGTTGCCCAGAAAGAACGAACTTTCATCATAATTTCGATTAAAACTTGGTAAGTTGAAAAGAATGCAGATATGAAATTAAGCGTTTCTTATAAAAGATATAAAAACGAGATCAGTGAATTTTAAAATACATAGAGAAGAGAAGGAATGTATAAAATTGGAATATGTAAGTTATTGTCTCAAAACAAAGTGTGCATATGAAGATACATTATGTAAATCTAATGCATTTTTCTTCAAAATGTTTTAAATAGTTGGGAATTTTGTTGGTCCAACCAATTGTGAATGAAATTAATTAATTACACCATTTTCATTTTTTAGCTAAATATAAATAAGGTGATTGCTAGTTTTATAAAAGGGTACGAAAAAAAGTATCTTCACTACCTTATTTATATCATATATTATAATTAATTTTATCATTGCGCTTAAATGAACAACCATACATAAATATGCGTTTGTAGGCTTCCGCGGCCGGAGTCAATGCATTCTTGGCTCTCCGGGATGAGCTGCATCTCGGTCAATTGCACTGACGTTTCGGCCATTTTGCTATGGCCTTCTTCAGAGCTATACTGCTGTTCATAGAAGTACAGGTCTGAAGAAGGCCACAGCAAGATGGCTGAAACATCAGTACAATTGACCGAGCCGCGGCCAGTTCCGGATAGCCAAGAATGCAACCATACATAAATTGTGGCAATTTAGCTCTGTTAGTACACTTTAAAAATCTTCCGAGCATAAATATTGCGTGTCTAGGAGATGCTTCATTCGCCAAACGGCCAGTTTCTCGGCCACGTGTCAGTACTCACCGTAGGGGCAGAGGCACTGGTAGGTGGCGCCCTCGTGGCCCTGCGAGAGGTCGACGCAGATGCCGTGGTTGCGGCAGGGCGACGGGAAGCAGGCGTCGCGCTCCTCGCAGTGCGGCCCCACGAAGCCCGGGCAGCACTGGCACTCGTAGCCCTCCTGCGCAACGCAACCCGCAACGCTCGCCACACGCTCCCACAAGCACAGCGCTCGCAAAATTGTATTACGAAGGGCTCTTAGTGATGCTCGTTTGGGCGCACTGAACTCAGCGCGTGGGAACAATCATAAAATATACAATTACTTACAAATGACATAAAAGGCGAGGAACGTTATTTTATAACAGTTAATGTGACACAAATTCATCCTTTTCTGTTACAATCACTAGTAATATTAGTGGATAAAAACATCGATTAATAGCTTTTCCTCTAGGAAAATACTAGTCATATATATCACATCAACTAGCATACCCCTGCGTAAACTCTCACATGTTCAACACCTCCCTCTTCCCTATCCTTCCATTTTCCCATTAGGGAAAAAGGTTGTTGAAGTTTTAAGGCCTTACAACCCTTCGTTGTTGAGTTATATAATTATATAGATTTCAACAATGCTGCCTCGGTGTTTTGGGTTCCATGTGATATGAATATTGAGATACTTTTTTTTAACAACTACTTCATATTTTTAACGTTCAAGTGAAATTCGTCAAGTCTCCGTGAAATTATCTTTCTTCAGAGACCTCATTTCAAGATTGATTGCGTATGAGAGCCGCAAAATACATCTATACTTCTCAAATGGTATAGGAGAGGATGCTTTTACTGACTATTAGAATTAAAAGATAAACCTTTGATTAAAAAATTAGTCATATACCTCTATTCAGTTATCACTATATTGCTTTCAGGAGACTCGAATTCGATGAGCGGTGAGCCGGTGACCAAAGATTGATGAGCTCCAGGATTCGATGGTCGGTCGAGGTGACCAATGTTTTGATAATAATTTGAACTTAATAGCTAATGATTTATCTAATGTAGGTTGTTTATTATTCTCAATTCTCTTCATAATTTACACTTCGAAATTTGTTTACTGTACCGTTCTGGAGGGCCTTCAAATGAAACACATGTAATTAATTTCAAAATCAACTCATTTCTATGGTTGTTATTTCACAGCTTAAGTGCCATCGCTTGTAAAATCCGGACTTTAAATATTCCAAGGGTAGCTGATGACGTTGTTTTCACTGTTACGCGGTGCTAGTTACGGGGGTTTACTGTATCGACAGGTCCCTGATCGTTAATTGGGGGCTTCACAAATTCTCGCCGTTTCGCTCCCATTCATTCGACTAACATTACGTAATCCACTAATTAGAGAGCACTAAACATTGAACTAGAGACTAATTAGTGGAAGGTCAAAATTAGTCGATCAATCACTCCCTCTCCGTCGCAGGTTCATTCGCACCTCGCTTAATATTTAACAAGTCGTAAAAGACAATTGGAAACGTTTCTGGGAACTTCAAAGGAAGATTTCACTTTGCTTGAAATTAACGCCTTCCGAGTGTTTAATGAGAGTTCAAAACTTTTGGTTATATAACATTTGCTTCTTTTACAAGAAGCAAATAATAACATTTTTAGTCTGTCTTCAAGCCTAGAGTAGATCTTTTAAATAAAACCATTGCTCTCTTTTTGAATGATTGAATAAGAAAATTTGACTATATTTTAATCAAAACAAAAACTTTACAAGATTTTCTTAAATAAAAATCTCACTAGAATATATATTTATCTATATTGTTATGGGAATGAAAAATGTTCTGATCAACGCCGGATAATCTATTTCTTACTTTGTGACGCTCACTACTACATACTAACAAATTAGCATATATAATTTCTAAATATATTCAACGCAAAACATTAGAAAATATGGAAAAGGTTCTAAGTGACGCGTATTAAAATACACTGAAAAAATTTAACACGGCAATCCATTAATTTGCAATCAGGCATTGCAGATATCTAAATATATTTCTTTCTTTTTTTTCTTTTCGAAAGATACGCTTTTACCAACCAAGTTTTTGCTTTGCGACCTATTGCACTTCGACAGTTTTTTGGGTTCGAATGCCATGCCACACGTCAGAAATGATACATAGCTTACAGCATATGATATATTGATCATACAAAAACGTATACTCACCCAAAAGGGAAATTGGCAACGCCAGGAGACCATTATTTTCATTCAAATTGACAAAAACAGCGTATTTATTTCACGGTAACCAACGAGCTCTCGGAACCGAGTGAGATCAACTTACAGTAAATTATATTTATATCACGCGCAAATTTATTGTAACATTTTCACGTAATTAGCGTCGAGTACAATATTCGGAACAGCAAAATAATTGCGTCTATTCCGCATGCAGCGCGCGCATCAGTACAGCGCCGAGTCGGGCAACGAGCCGAGAGAGAACGGGGCGGGGCGGGGCGGGGGGCAGTTATGTGGCATCAGAGCACTCCGCGGGCGCGAGTGGGGCGCGCGGCAAACTTCAGCCCTAAACGCGATAAAAGCAAAGGGTCGACACGTGACTGCGCGCCGGGAATGGTTGTTCCCCGCTAAGTGCCAGCGGCGGACGGAGGACAGAGGACAGCGGTCCTCCGCTTCGATACAAAGCGGCCCGCCGTCCTCACAACTTCCTCCTGCACAGCCTGCCGCATCCTCCGCCTCGGCCGCTCCCCATCTCGTCCCGCCCCCTCCCCTATCCACGCGTACCGGACTGTTGTACCCAAGTTAGCGGGTTCAAACCCGATCGAAGCCGTGGAGAACGAAAAAATCTTTCGTACGCCTTCCTTCGGAGGGGAAGTAAAGCCGGCTGTCCCATGTTAGTAGATATACTTCCATGTACAAGATCCCCAAGCCTAAATGACTGTTATTATGAGCTAAATTCAAATCGCCTGTTTTCCGCCCAAGAAATACCTCCTTTCTCTGCTAGTTGGTGAAAGGAACGTAGCGAAATTTGCGTGGTCAGAGGAAGAGCAGGCCTCATGGCCTGAGTCTCGCCGCGTACAATAAGGCAACAATTCAATTCAATTCAATTCAATTCAGTATATCCTCCGCTTGCCGCGCCTTGGCCGCCTCGGCCGCCGTCGTTTCCTCGGTTTCAGCCCCGAAGCCGCCATCCTCAGGCAGGTTTTGCTGGGTTTTCCTAACCGCGTTATGGGTTTTGTCGGTGGGGTTCCTTACGTTGCTCTTGCAGACGTAAATACTGGTTTTCCTTTTCTTACTTTAATGTTTCAATATTGTAATAATATGTTTTCGTTAAAGTGCTAGGAGGTAGACGATGCTTTATATACTGGGCCTTGAAAATCTATCATCATCTTCATCATCATCATCACCACCAATAAAGCAATGTCTTGCACTTCACAATCTTTGAATGACCTGGTACTTTAGTGAAACACATGTCCCATCCATATATGGCAACCCAAATCCTTTTCAATAATCTCGATTAAGTATTGTCTCACGTTTCTCTTCTTTCACATCCTTTTTCATCATTTCTCCTGTCTGGTTATATTGCCCTACTCTTCAAAACACTTCGCTTCCGTTAATGAATTAGGATGCGATCCACTCTCCAAATTTGCTTGGCTTGCCCGTTACCGGCAGCGATCTAATGCATCAGCTGCACGACACACTCTGGTTCCCCTTCGCCTTCCTTCCACTAAACGTAATTTTTTCGACATTATTTCGCCAATTCACTGCATCATGTGCATCGTCCTTCGTAATACATAGAGCATCTCCCACCACAGCGAGCCTCTAGCCATCCTCGATTTCCTGCACTCCCACGCGTTACACTTCAACCAGCCCTTCACCTGACTTTTCAACCGTCGTCCGCGCCGTCAGTTCAGCCACTTCGTTCTCGTGGCGCGCGGACGCCGATTCAATACGCCCAACACGTCCGACGCCGTTCCCCCAAGCGCAGCCGCGCGGTTATTGTCCCTGCTGCAGTCGCGCCAATCCCACAGCGGCGCGCACCGTTCGGGCGCCACTTTGAGGCCAACGCGTCACCGCGGATGGTGCCCTGACCTCTCACCGACTGGCCCTGTTGCTGACGCCCACGCTCCCCCCCCCCGACCGCCCCAACCCCCCGCACCCGCCATATTGCTCCGGCACAAGCCGGCGCGAATAACGATCCATAGCTTCGGGGCTGCTGCTCTTCAGGAATTGTAATTCAGGGAAATTGCGCACGCCGCGGCGATCCGCGAATTCAATTATGTCGCATCGGGAATCTCATGAAATATGCACAATACGCCCGTGCGCCACCGCTAATGGTGCCGGTGCGCCCGCCGCCGCGTCGCGTCGCGTGGGCCCTCGGCGCCGGTGTCGAGAGTGGCCGGCGAAGTCGGATGCGAGCGGTGCGGGCGAGCGGGAGCGGGGACGCGGAAGGCGGCGCGCGGGGCGGACGGCGGAAGCCCGGCCCCAAATAATCCAGTTTACGGGTAACCACGCGGATCCTAACGTATTGGCGACAGCCTATACGAGCCAATAGTCAGAGCTCCGAGGCGTAGATCAACCTGGAGCAAGGATACAGCCCGGAAAGGGCGAGAAAGCTTCTTAGTTGCTCCGAGGGAAAATGCCCGTAAAATGAAAAAAAGAGATTCGAGAATGAATGCCACTGAAGGAAATGAAGCAAATCGGGAAATAATAAAATTGCGCTCAAAACGTTAACGAAACATAACGTAATCTACAAGAAACTTCGGACTTGTGTTCTACAGTAACCTAAATAGAATGTGGTTGTATGAATATGAAACAAGTCGGGCTCGTACATAATTAGACTGTAAGGTTAGGCAACCCAAACAAGAGTTGGAGTGAAGTACTAATAACTTTTTTCTACCCACAGGCCACATGAGGAAGCCCAAATGTGTTTATTTGTTTGGTTAACACCATTGGGAATAAAATTGTATACGCGAGTATTTCAAAACCCTGAAAAAATATAATAATGTAGAAATCCACTGTTACAGGTGTCAACGTAGAGCCAGATTCGTTATTTGTAGACCGTGTGATCTCCAAAGATAGAAGACCAGCAAATCTAAAAAAATACTGAGAAATTTTTCAATCTCGCATTGCAAGAAATTATAAGGATGGATCCTGATTCGACGAATCGTAATGAGAAAGCTGAATTCTAGACACAAACT